TTTATAATGTGAATCTCTACGAACATGTGATTCTTTAGATGCTAGTGCACATGAATGAAGTATTTCTTTAACTTGTGCAATGAGATGAAATATATGAAATAGTATTAGGTTACTGAAAATACTGGAACTTCTTGAATTATTGAAGATGAAGGGACATAAAATGAATGAAAACGAATATGAAAATTACTTGAGCTGCTTTATTAAATAGGTTTTGATGCTTCATGATTCGTTTTCTTGGAAGATTTCTTTGTGATTTTTACATGAAGATACGAGTGGGACTTAATGGATTGAAAAAAGAAAAGATACGTTTTGGAAGAGTGTTCAATTGACAACCATTAATAAGTGAGTTGAAATTTGAGTGAGAGTTACCAAGTGCATGATCTGTGTGCTCTTCAAAGCGTTGAAAAATTAAGATTTCAATTTCAATTCCAAAGGGAAAGACCCTAGAGACTTGGATTTGATAAGGATGTGGATGAAATATCACACATTTTTCGTGTGATCTGTTAATATAGACGTTATTTGCAATCAAGTAAAAGGTTAGAGATATCTGATGCTAAAAAAAGGTCGAGGGTAGATTAGTAACCTATTGCAAAAGCTAGGGAGAAAAAATTATCAATTTCTCTAATATTTAATATATTTATATGCTAAGTAGTTATTTTTACTTCTCAACTAAGTTTCTAATTAATATATTTTTACCTTTATATTTAAAACCTACTTTTTATGTATAGTGTTTGACTTGAAAATTGAACATGATACATTTTTTTACCTCAATAAATAAATTTTGATAAACTAATGACATGTTTAAATAAAAATAAAAATTTAAAAAAACTCGACCCCAACTCGAAATACTAAATTAATAATCTCAAATGCATAAGATATTAGTTTTACTTAAAATATTTTAGATCCCAATAGAAATATAAATAATTTGTTAAATACAAAAAAATTTAAAATACATGTTTAGAGTTTGAAAACTAGAGATTAGGAAGTTAGAATTGAAAGTGTATAGAGTGAGTCAAACTCAAATGTGCTGATATATTATGACAATGATCCCTATATATAGGATTTCAAAAGAGTTATAATTCGAATAATATACAATCTTCTAAAGTAAATACGAAAGTCATATTTACATCTAGATAAGACCAAAAAGTCATTCATTGATATCTACTATTTTACAACACGGAGGAACTTTTTATTTGATCTTTCTTCTCTAAGATGCTACCAATTCCTTACATGTTATCTTCATATACTGTGTGATTATGATTGTTCGAAAATTCCTTTACAACTTTTTGGACTTTCATACTTTGTTCAGTAGTTTTCCAATTTTTTTCCTTTGAAAGTAGAAAATTAAATTTGCTCGTCCTCTCTTTTTACTTAAATTCAACTCAACCTCATTCCTAATTTTTATTTTTTTTTAGTACATATACAACATTTGATATATTTATTTTTATTTTGTAGAAAGTAATTACTTAGAGGGTGTTTGAACTCCTTTTTATGAAAAAAATGCATTTTAGAATAGTAAATTGATGGAAAATGTGTGATTGAAAAGAAGAAAATGAAAAATGTATTGGAGAAAATAGGAATCAAACAAAGCCTTAAAGTTATTTGGTTGCCGGCCGGTCCAAGAACGAACGAATCGGACAATCCGATTTGTATTAATTGGTTCATTAACATATGAACCAATCAAGAACTGTTCAAATCGATCCTTAACCGTACAAACCGAAAGGGTTTGGAGAAAACCAAACCCAATTCAATCTAGGTTTTCTCCCAATTCAATCTAGATTGGTTAGTTGTCAAATTGGTTCAAAGAAAAATTTAATATCACGTTTGCAGTGGAAAAAGATTTGAATCTATGCTTTCTATATGAATTATGAGAAGTTTGACCACAATAGCAGCTAAGTAATAGATAAATTGTCTCTTTATTTTTAAAAAATATTTTTTAATTAAAATTCGATTTTGCAATGATCCAGTGTCTAAACCATTGACCTAAAGATCCGATGATTCGTTTGGATCGACGAACACAAATTCAATGTTAATTATATAAATCATTATTCATCATTCATTCTACTATTCTGTACTACTAACATCACTATCAACATCAACACCTTGTAGGGACTTTTAGGCCCCTGGGAGCATATGTCGTTAGCCAAGTTTGCATAGTAGATGTATTGACAATTCCCATCGAGCGGCAACAACTAGCTCGTGTTGACAATGGGATGAACTAATACCATAGGAGTTCATAAAGTGAGTCATTATTGCAACCAATGGGCGTTACACACATGAAGCGGTTCAATGAAAGATTCTACGATATTGCTTTTGGTTTACATAATTACATCTCTATGTTCTCATTTGTTCCATTGAGATCAAATTATTCTCGTAAAGAAGAGGTTCTTTAAACATGGTGTACACGACGAGGCTTGCAGGATGAGAAAGTGTATATCTTTGTATAAGGTGCACATCAGGATGTGAGAGGATAATTGTAGTAGATAGAGTTTGACACGAAATGGTGTCTTCTCAATCTACATGTATTTTAAATCCTTATTGAGACCTATGAGTTCATTCTCATGGACGGTGGTATGAAAATGTAAACTACCTCTAGCGATGGCATTTTTATTATGAACAATTGTTAGGAGACAAGTTTTAACTACTAATAATCTCCTCACAAGGGATTTTGATGTTACAGAGTGATGCTATACGTGTAGGAGAGATGGGAAAACGATAGACCATTTGTTCCTTCATTGTAATGCTGCTCCCTTGCTATGAAACGGTATTCTAACATCTCAGCACATGGATTGTGTATTGCCAAGACGTATGAAAGACATGTTAAACGCATGAAAGAGAGTTCCACGATAAGGATAGCAAACTTGTATGGAACCTTATTTCAGGTTGCATCATTTGGTGTGTAAGGAGAGAGAGAAACAATCAATGTTTTAATGATAAAACACAAACAACAAAACAGATTAGAAAATTATTTTATTTGATATAATATACTTGATTTAATGTTGTATCTACCAGGTATATAAATGGAGTGCCTAATTTCATGTTCCTTTCTAGTGTAAATTAATAATACACTTTCTATGTATTTTTCATTGATTAATAAAATATTTGATTACTTTAAAAAAAAAAAATGGAGAAGAAGAAAAATTTCTTGATTCATCATCTTCTTTAAAAAAATTCATACAAACTCATCAATCAATAGCTAGTCAAATACTCGTATAAAAATTTTCAGTTTGCCCAGTAATACTTGACTTAATGTGGTCTTGTTCGTCTTACAAAACATGCTCAAGATCTACAATCAACCTGCTTCTTATTTGAGTCGAATGCACTCAGATTGATCAAATGCATATTATATGATGCATACTCGTGTGAAATTCACATGAACATGCTAGATGCTAGACCACAAATATGTGCGTACGTGCGTGCAGAAACTTGCACAAGTAAATCTTTCCCCATGTATTTCCAGGTTTTTATAGTAAGACGAGTTCATGAGAATCTTGAACTAAAAGCATTAAACCTGTTCCATTATAATGCAAATCTCTACAAACACCTCTTCAACATATACAAATGCACTTAGACACAATTTGATTAACAAATGCACGACCCAACAATGCATGCATGCATACATGAATTTAACGTGCAAACACTACAACAAATGAATCTTGCAAATATTTTCATGCTTTTTGACAAAGATCGAGAGTTGAACTCAATTTTTTGACACCTCGACACATGAGCCTCCAACAAATCATGAGAATATCCAAATAGAATATGTAGAAGACAGTAAATCAAAAGGATTCATTGAAAAAAAAAAAAACAACAATCAGAAGATTGGAGCAGAATGAATAACAAGTACTCTATTCACAATCCCATATCATTAACTTCAAATCCGAATCCATGTAAGACAAAACATAAAATGACAAATTAAAAGGAGAAACACAGTAAAATAATCAATTTGTTCTTTTAGAAATGAATCGTTTCTTTAACCCATGCAATGACATCTAACAATAGAGACATAATAGAGAACATGATAGAAGAGCATCATATTGCATTGATGATAATACTACAAATTCGTGACTTACTGAAGCGGAAGGGACCTAACTAAGCCCCCATTTTTTGGAAATGAAAATGGATGGAATAATGTTTTTTTTTTTTTTTTTTTTTTTTTTTTTTTTTTTTTTTTTTGGAAAAATGAGGTGGTTAAAAAAGAAGGAAAAATTTTCGATTTACATGTAATATTATTTTATGAAAGATCGCGTGATTGAAAATAGGAGAGAGAAAAATAAAATAGAATTGAATAAAATTTAATAGGGATTAAACAAGGGCTAAATCAAAATGAACATGTAAGAGATAAGAGAAGGGGAGCAAATGCTTTGAATAAAATTCTATAAAAATGAAAATGAAAAAATAAAAAAAATTCCAAACGAATATTTAAGAACATTCAATGTGGAAATAGACATAAGAGGACATGCGTTTCACATAGGGCTGAAAAGTGAAGGGACGGGTTCTTACATAACATGAGAACGAAGTATTCCCTTTTACTCAAATTTCATGCATGTTTTGGGAAAAACCATTCAGAATGACAACTTTGCTATGAAATATGAAAATCGAGGATCTCACTACTTCAACTCCTAAGATCGAGAACCAAACTGGCAATTTACCATTACTCAGTCGATAAAGTACCTATAAAGGAGTGGGTAAGGCAAGGATTGACAATACCACTCATACGAGAAAGGATTAGCAGCATTTTCTACTACTATTGTCAGACGGTATTTTATTCAAAAAGTTAGCCCTCGTTTGAGCTACATTATTTTCATAAGAATACATTTTTGAATAGTGTATTAATAGGAAATGCGTAATTAAAAAATAAGGAAAAATTTTGAATTTACTGTAATATTATTCTATTGAATAATATGGGTTAAAATGATGTCAAATCACTGTTTAAGAATATATTTATATCTTTTCAAAGAATGTGGCTTAAAAAGGGCCTTAATAAACTTCAAAGAAAATTGCAGAACATAGTCACTCTGAATTAAACATTAAACAACACTAATGAACAGTATCCAGTCTTTCACGATAATGATATGATAATCTGATATGAAAAACTAAAAGCATAATTCAAAGCTGCATGATACATTTTGTCCATTACAAGAGTAGACTGGAGAGAGACATAATTTTTACATAATGCATGTGACTCTTGATAGGCAAATCATACTAACCCATTGCATATTTCTGGGTCCAGCTCCGAGCAGTTTGTTCGTACTTGGCCCTGTCAGTCTTGTACATGTAAGAAATTTCTGGCACCAGGGGGTCATCCGGGTTTGGATCCGTCAAAAGTGAACAGATTGAGAGCAACACCTTAAAAGTATAAACGAGATAGATTCTAACCTTGAGAAATTGAATGTAATGAAATAATAACATACACACATTCAAAAAAATCCACCCCATATCAGATAATAGAAGGAAATTTCGACTATTTGTGTTCGTTCATAATGAAATACATGATCTAAGATGAAGTACAAAAAAATATTATCAATGGATGCCTAGAAATAATTTTCAACAACCTACTGCAATATCCCCAAGCGTTTTGAATTTCCATTTATAAAAAACATGCCATTATTGGTACATTCTTCATGGATGATCATATCCAAGTAACGGACACAAAAGATTTCTGTGGAAGACCCTCATGTGTAAAGAGAAAAACCTCATACAAACCAGAAAGTCCAATTTCACCAAAACATATATAACATTCTCTCAAGTTTTTGCCCAAATCTTGAGGTACTACAGCACATAAATTAGAGACAATTTAGGGTTACCTTTTACAAAATTTCAAAACCTGAATTGAGGCATTTAAGGGTCAGTGCAAAACTTCATAGTTGGGAAAAACAGATCTCGGTATAACTGGAACAGCATAAATTATACCAGAAGTCGAAATGCTTCCTTCCAAGTTTACATCTATGTACCACTCTTCCACCCCCAAGGCCCAACACCAAAATGAACATAAATGACCTTAACAGATGTATAACATTACCACCATCCTGACACTGCGCCATAACCTTCACCATCATGCCACAGGCTTATAACCACCACAATCTCACCAAATCTACACAAGACTGTCGATGTTTCAACTTTCACCACCATCAACTCTAAAACCACTGCCATCACAGCCTCTAGTGCTAACTAAATCTCCAGATACATTGGTCTTGCTTAGTCTACAAACTGAGAGCAATGATCACAAGCACTTACCACCAACACATAGGCAACAATCACAGGCTCCTACAGGTAAAAAACACCAATCCATGATTGCAGGCCCATTTACCATTAGACTCAAACGCTTCATAGCCGGAAATTTCAAGTCTTTAATTCTCCTTTTCCTTTATTTCAACAGTCGGAGACGATGAATGGTGATTTTGAGGCTCATGGCTGATGGAGTGATTGTAATTTGAGAGAATACTTTCGGGAGAATATTGTGCACATAGGTTGCATTGGTTGATTATTCTTATAATCTTGTTTGTATTATTTTTGGGTATCCGAGGCCTTAAGTTTGGTTAGTAGAAGTGGTTTTACGATAATGGTAGGTTGCCGGAATGGGTTGAGAGGATGATCAACCAATATGAGAGAGAAATAGGAGGGTTTGACAGGCAAAAGAACACAAGTAAAAATGGGAAAAGTATGAAATATTCACGTTATTTAGAAAACAGAATCAAGTCAATTAGCAAAGAGTTATGAAATAGATGGATAAATAGTCTATTATTATCATGGTCAAAACTCATTTTTAATAAATGCTAAAATCAGTGTCTACTAGATAATATGAAAGCACCAAAGTGAAGAAAAATAACCTTAGAAATTGTTAGGGCTGGGCTCCACTGCTCCTTCAAGATGTCAAGGCAAATACTGCCATTGCTGTTTATATTAGGGTGAAAAACCTTTGTCCGGAATGCAACCTGCAAAAAAAAGCAAAAGCAGGTCAAATGAAGAAATTAGTTAACTGGAACTCTTAGTTTGCATGTTAGGTTATAGCTATGATATTCGAAATTCAACTCTAAGCTCATGTCCTTATTAGACATATTATTTGAGCATACACGAATATTCTCACAACGTCAGACTTTTTTTCCATTTTATATAAACCTTCAAACCAACTTGTGTCCGATATTTGACTACGACTAGGGTCTGATATTTGGCACTGATTCTCTCAAACCAATGATGATCAAACAATACTTAGGCAATATTGATGATACGTCCAAGCTTCATGCAGAGATGTAAATATTTAGATAAGTTTTAAAAGCTCAATTACAGGATATAAGTGGGTATTGGAAAAAAAATAATAATAAATTATTGGTTAAAGTTGCAAATAAGTTTCCTATTTTAACATTTTAGTGAAGAGCTACTTTTAGAATATCTATCTTTTTTTTCTACTTAATAATAAGAAAAAATTAACATGTACAAACATGTATAGTAGGTACATCCCAACACGAATACAAAAGGTTGCTATGATGCACTGACACGGGCACGTGTGAGTGTTGAACACATCAACACGCAATTTTTCAAAAAGCACCGAATCGATAAGTCGCTGACATGTTGATTAAATTTTCAAAATTCTTGTGTAAATTTAATTTCTTACTTGTTATTAATTTTTTATTTAAATCTTTTAAATATGAGTACCTATTTGAAAGTTAATAATAAATTTGAGTTAAAATATACAAAATTTCTAATAAAGAAACAAAAATAACCATGGTAGAATATTCAAGGAGTGGTGGTATCCAACATATGTCTGACATGTGACATGGACATGCACACCCTGGTTGATGTATTCGTGCAACACAGAAAAGTAGTAACAGAACAGAATGTCAGGCCAAGCAATAAAAAAGTAAAGACAATAACAGATTTACAATTTTCAAAAAATTTGACTTGTGAACAAAACTGCAGGCAGGTGACACCCTTTTTTTCTTTTGTTTGACTTTTCCAAATCTGAATGTCATACCTTTGGAGGTTTGAACGGGTAATCAGGGGGGAAATGAATAGTAATTAAAAACACTCCCCCAGCATAAGGACTGTCTTGAGGACCCATTATCGTTGCTTGCCAATGGAACATATCCTCGCCGACAGGCCCTGTTCATATGCATAAAAAATCAAGGAGTATTATATTACCATCTTGCAATGACAGAGAACAAGCAAGGAAAAGATATTAATCATAATTGAGTAATTATATATACTACATGTAAGTGAAGGCACACAATTGAACCATGAAGGAAAATCCAAAAGAATAGATGGATGTCTTTGCATTTATGATAAAGAAAGTAGGAGAATGCAACTTTTTGTTGGTTCTAACAAAATTTAAGATTTGGAAACGGATTCATCGGAAAAAACATACTAAGTTAGAACTTTTAATATCAAGATTCTTATTCCAAACTTTTAATTTACATCCTGGTTGTAAGAACTATAGCTATAAACAAGAAAATAAGTAGATCATTTACACAGCCAAGTTGAAAACTTATATTAGAATGATATACATCTTTGATAAAAAGAAGCTCGATAAAACATTTCTTACTATTTGTTACAAAATTTTCCATTAATAAAGTGCTGCACACACCTAACTTTTGCATTCTTGCACGGCCTCGGATCACTGAAGCAAAAAACAACTGAATCGTCCATGTATGACTGTACGCACGAACATAAATCATTGACGTTTCACATAGAAAGACCATTTTACATAGACATTTATAAACTTAATAAATTCTTAAAACAAATCCCAAAAGCACAATTTTTTTGTTTGGTATTATAGTCTTGGAATCCAATCTTAAAAGGTAAAGCTTGCTAAGAGAAATAACCCAAACACCAACTATTTTTAATGTTTATGCCACCTGGATTTTAGCTTCGACCAGTATGAAGAATATATCCATACCCACAATTTTTCATAACCAAATTAAATTTTTTACCATAATAGATGATCAAAAGAGCAATTTTTGTATACCCACATGCGAAATGCTAATAAAAATAAACTTAACGATCCAAATGTCACAGATCAAAACTCAAACTATCAAACAACACGTAAAACCAAAAACTACAGACACAAGAGGGACTACAACAGTACCAGCACTGCAAGAAGTAGGAGGGTCTTTCTGAAGATCCTTTAGCTCCTTCAAGATTCTTTTCGAAGCCATCAAAACAAATTAAAAAGAACCCAATCTGCACAATTTCATTTTCAGAAAAAAAAAAAAAAAAACCAAACCCACAAATTAAAAATCTCCAAAAATTGAAATAAATTCATATATATGTATGTATCAAGAATTATATGTAAACATATGCATATATAGAGGCGCAAAGAGGGATGCGGTGGACTGACATAAGAGCCGCTAATGATAACAATTTTCCTGAGTTTTTTCTTCTGGTTGAGTTGCTGCTGCTTCTGCTTGACGCAATAAGCTTCATCAAACCTATAATATAAGGCCCTGTTTGATCCACGATATTCAGAAAAAATATATTTTTAAATAGTAATTAGACATAATTTAAATCACATATTTTTTAATAAAATAATATTATACGTAAATTTAAAATATTTTTTTATTTTTTAACCAAATATTTTTTATCAATACATTTAAAGATGCATTTCTTCTAATAATGTGACTCAAAACAATTTATAAATATGACTTCTAAGAATAGGTTTGTTTGACCCCATTAAAATAATTTTTTGGCCAATTTTATTTTCTGCATTTGCCGGGGTCCACATTGACAGAATTGTTGGAAAATTATGAAAAAACCAAACCCACAAATTAAAAATCTCCAAAAATTGAAATAAATTCATATATATGTATGTATCAAGAATTATATGTAAACATATGCATATATAGAGGCGCAAAGAGGGATGCGGTGGACTGACATAAGAGCCGCTAATGATAACAATTTTCCTGAGTTTTTTCTTCTGGTTGAGTTGCTGCTGCTTCTGCTTGACGCAATAAACTTCAACAAACCTATAATATAAGGCCCTGTTTGATCCACGATATTCAGAAAAAATGTATTTTTAAATAATAATTAGACATCATTTAAATTACATATTTTTTAATAAAATGATATTATACGTAAATTTAAAAATTTTTTTATTTTTTAACCAAATATTTTTTATCAATACATTTAAAGATGCATTTCTTCTAATAATGTGACTCAAAACAATTTATAAATATGACTTCTAAGAATAGGTTTGTTTGACCCCATTAAAATAATTTTTTGGCCAATTTTATTTTCTGCATTTGCCGGGGTCCACATTGACAGAATTGTTGGAAAACTATGAGAAAAAGACATCCATACTTGACTTTTGGGAAAATTTGTAGGTTGATCAATATACGCTCCTAATTAAAATATAGATTTTAACTACATTAATTTTCATTTCATTAATTTTTAATGACATAATTTTTAATAAAATAATATTATACGTAAATCAAAAAAAATTTCTTCTTTTCCAACCATTCATTTAAAAAAAAAATTATTCCAACTAAAGAAAACACTATTCCAAAAAATGGGAGCCAAACGAGGGGCTTAATTCCAACCAAGAGCTAAGTTTACTTGCAAAGACAACTTTAAAAAATTACTTAATACTAAAGGGAATTTTTAAAAATGACCCTTTCAAATCCTTTATTTTTCATTTTGACTTTTCTACTATATCATATTTTCACAATGATCTTTTGGATGGTAAAAGACAAAGATGCCCTCAAATGTATTATACAATTACAAATTATTATTTTGTTTAAAAGACAATATTACCTTTTTAGTTAACAAGTGAAAGTTAAATGATTTCCACTTAAATTTCAAAATCAACTAACTTTTCTAATTTATTTATTCCAACACAAATAAAAACTCTCTCATTTTTCATCATTTTCAACCTTAAAATCTCAAAAAATTATTGAACGTTGAATAAGAAAATATTTTTTCTATCAATCACTTTGAATCAGTAAGTATATTTATGTATGTTTAATTTCGTTTTCGTTAAATTAGTTATGCTTTTAATTGATAAATCTTATTTCGTTATAGATTAACATGTAGATAAAAAATTTTAATTGATCTAAACTTTTTTTACATGAACAAGGAAAAAATCCATCTGCATGAGATTCAGATCGGCACAACAGCTAACACAGCCAGCTGTTACAGCCGGCTACATAGCCGACCAGCCATCTTTTTTAAGAAGTTTGTATTGCTACTAAGGTTGAACTGAATTTTTGACTATTTTTTCTTATAATTAAAATTTTTATTTCGTCATGCAGATATGGTTATAACCCCAATTTGTTACTTTGGTTATTTCGAATTGGATGAAAATGATCAACGGATATAAAAATAGATGAGTGATATACATGGTGGCATTCCAATTTCTATAACAGAGATTACATTTTTTATGCGGGAATGTATCATAATTTAAAAAACAAGTTGAATGTCGATCCCACTTAATACAATATGGAACTGAGATTTCAATTCAACGAACATTCATCTATTTCGATTCCACTTATGAAGATTACTTTTGATGTTGAAGTGAATTATCTATTTAAATTGAACAAAATGTACACAACTTCTCTTTGCGTGACCTTAGTAAAGAATGATGTTGTCAAAGGAGAATACGAAGATTCGAATGGAGTGGATAACAATGCCAATAATTTTTGAAACACGGTGGAGATAGCTTGTGAGGATGATGTGGTTATTCTTGAGATAGTTGCTCCTTATCGTGATCTCGCTGTTATGAACAGTTTCTTGTTGGTAGTTCACGACAATGAAAATAAAAAAGAATTTACAAATGAGGATTTGATTGCTTTATTTCATTAGAGACATGAGTGGGTGGGAGCTCAGGGGTTGAATCAGTGGACCGTCCTCTAATTATTCGCGTGTGATTCTTGATGATTAGGATTTCCATACCGAACAATTGTTTGCAATAAAGAAAGATTTACAAGAAAATGTGCATTGGATGACATTAATATGCAACTTTAAGTTCAAGATAAAAAAATCAACAAGTCATTTTCGATGATTGTCTACTTCGACGACAGTTATTGTTAGCTCTTGCGAATGATTAAGATGGATATGAAAACATACTTGGGAAGTAAAAATTCATCGAAATGATTACATACAAACTCGAGCATGGTTTATTGGTCGACAGATAATGTACAAGTATCAGGATCCACAGATGGTCTATAGACTTTAGGACATCATTAAACATCATTAATGATGTCCTTCGAGAATATAGAGTGGTCGTGAACTACTAGAAAGTCTGGAAGGCCAAAGAATGGGCTCGACTAAGGAAGACTATCCTAAATTGGCCAAGTATTACCAAAATATGGAGACAACTAATCATGGCTTGACATTTTTATTGAGACGGAAAGCAAGAATTGCTTTATATTTTTCTCCATGACTCTTGGACAATGCATTTGGAGATTTTAAAATGCAATGCGACCTACAATTCTAGTCGATGGTATAACTCTGAAAGTTAGATACCAATGCAAGTTGATTATTGTTACTTGTCAAGACGCCAACATCAAAATTCACCCTATTGCATTCGACATAGTCGACACAAGAATGATCTATCGATGTGTTGGTCCTTTACAAAGTTGAAGAAAGTGATTGGGAAAGTCGAGGACCTTGCTTTTATAACAGATCAAGGATCGCCTATAATAAATGGTATCGCTGAAAATTTTTTCGATACACATTATGAGTATTGCATGTACCATATATAATGCAATCGGAAGACCTTGCAAGAACGATTGAGAGTTACCAATTCTTGCAAATAGTGAGAACATTCATAACAAGGTGCGGCAATGGTTTCACGATCGACATGTAGAATCACAGAGTTGCACGAGTGTGCTTGTCCCGGCTCAAGAGGATAAACTCTTCAGCTGTAGAGGTTGCAAAAAAGTTAAATATGGAACCATTGGATGAGTTACGCTTCTCCATGAAATGTGCACGTAATATGACATACATGGTAAACTTGACTGATAATGTATGCACTTGTAATCGATTTCAGTTGAAGAGTTTTCGATGTAAGCATGCAGTCGTGATGACTATGTATCAAGGTTTTGTAACGAGAACATTATGCTTTCCTTATTACACAGTTGATTCTTGGAGAGTAGCGTGTGTTGAGACTATATTTCCTTTCCCGAATAAAGTTGAGTGGGAAGTTTTCGACCATATTCTTCCACTACAAATTGAACCACGTGATTTTGGATGTCCATGTACATCTAAAATACTATCAATCGAACAATTTTTTCGACCGTGTAGGTGGGATAAGTGTAGAGCAACAAAGCATACTCACCACTTTTATATAAATCAGATTTTCCTAAATGACAATTAGACCAATGTGTAATAATATCACTGTTAAATGAACAATATTTATATTTATTTTACAATATTTAAAATTATTTCATAATTAAATATACAATTTTTACATAAATTTTGTAATATGTACAATTATTTCATAATAAAATAAACAATTAAATTTACAATATTTACATAAGTTTTACAACATTTACCATTATTTTATAATTAAAAAATTCAATACACAATATTTATGGATCATAATTAAATTCGTATAAATCACACAATACTTTATTCCTCTAGATTTGTATCCATAATTAAATGATTCCATCAACATTATATATTATACTAAAAATTCAATATACTTTATTAGGAGCATGCCACTATCACTCCTGCAATTGAAAAATAATGTGTTAATTTGATACTGTTCAATTAAAAACTAAGTTTTCAAGTTATAAAAAAATATAAATACTTATAATATTGACTGTCTCATCTTCGTCGTGTCTCATACGATGGCTAGTCTAGATTGCACAATCACCCCGCTCATCTAGCCATTAGAGGAACGATCACAGCCATTGGCTCTAGATTTTGCTCGAGTAGACATGAATAACCGGAGCGATACACATATATAATGGAATCAGTAAAGATGATCTCCATAGCAAAGCAATGATGATTAGCTATCACCAGAATGTACATATGCGTACAACTCTCTCTAATTCCTCCAACACTAGACGACATCCTTATGACCTACTCGAGCATATATTCGAGTACCGTGTACTCACTACCCATAAATTGGAGTGATTGATACTCAATGGTAAATGCACATATAAACTCGATTTCAATATGACTTCACTAGGAATGTCAAATGATTCTGGATATCTTTAAGTTCGACTGCGCAACAAATCTATGGCCATGTTGATGTGTTACATCAGAAAACGCTAATAAAAAAAAGGGAGTTGTTTCATTTATTAAACCAAAATTATATATACATAATAAGTAACAATATGAATACTTTACTTACATCATCGACGAGTCAAACTCCCGAAGTGGTGATGTCATAGAACCTCTTGTAAGCGTTCGAGATCGTCGTTGAGCTATCGTGTGGTCAGCTCTAAAAAAAAGAAATAGAGAAAAT